CCGATGGCACATATGGAACACCATACTTTAGATTTATACCTAGATTTATAGCGATTTGTGATAAATACAGTGTTTTTATACCACGTGACTATAACATTACTGCACATATTTTTTCCCTCCATTTACAAAATTTGCATAAACATCTTTCCGAATTGTTACAAACAATAATTGTTACAAACAAGTTGTATTTTGTGGGAAACCTATGGGGCTTATTTTGGTCAATTTTCCGGGGCTCCTGCCAGAGATTATAAAGTTGGTGTATACGTGCTTTAAGAATTTCAAATCAATTGATACTTTTCTAGCATTACATTACTTATGAGCTTTCCAAAGAGACATCGCACGCCAAAAAATCGGCCCACGACCAGTAATCAATCAATTTCAACTTTCGAAATAAGAACGGGACGCTCCATGCCCCCCCCCCCCCCAAAAAGAACCTAGTTTGTTTTTTAAGTGACGGCACAATAAAGGCAAGTACTGCGTACACCACCATCTTTTCCTCCAAAAACTATTGGTTGAAGTGGTCAGAAATTGCCTCAGATCGCACCACAGAGCATCTAGAATCCCCCCCCCCCCCATTTTTTTTTCGGGGCCCTTAAGCGGGCCCGAACCCCACGCCGTAATTTTTTGGCCCCCCTTTTTTGAGGACCAAACTTTTTTGCCCCCCCCCCAAAAAAAAACCCCTGTGTTATGGATCCGCCCACTCACGAACATGGCATGTACTGTATAGGGTGTTCATGTGTTGGTGATTTTTGGTTCAAAATTAAAGGTTTTCTCGTTAGCGGTTATTGGTTATTGGGGAATCAAAATAGATATGTTCTTCTCAGAAAGTTTTCATATGACAACTTTTAAGTACGCTGCTCTTCTGTTTCTTCAACTTAACGTGCAGCGTACTGAGAGTGAAGCCTGCCACTCATCATAATAGACTTTCTAGTGTCTCAACTGCTACTTTTTTTTTCGAGCGATACAAAAGTTATTAACTTTTGAATGATTCGAAGACAAAACTTGGCCCATAACAATAAGTTGTGGAATAATTACATTACAAATGTCAAATTATTTGCGGACCGACAAGTCTGCAGATCAGTCTAGCAATGTAGCCTGGTCCCGTCCCCGCCCCTTTTAGAAGTACTGTATAACGCTAATATTAATAACGCCCAACGCCACCCACCCATTCAGTCACATGCATTCTTTCAAGTCGTCATGCACAACATTAATTTTTAAGCATGTCAAACCGTCCTTGCCCTTTCTTTTCTACCTCCAGGATATTATTACATTGACAATGATGTATCAGCTCCCAACACGGAAAGCCGGTGCATCTGCCGTGTACACGGAACATTGACCTTCAGGCAGGAAATCCATCCACACACGGAACATCCTTGCTCCGTGCTTGCGGCTTTTGGCCGAATACCCTCGATGAACTCGGCCGTACGACAAGTCTCTTCAGTTATCTCGATAAAAAACACCGACAGCGACTAGACAAATTAAAGTAGGTCGATGAGAGAAGATTGTTTTTGGAGATGGAATCTACGTGCTATAAATAATAAGGCATATGAAACTGCGTAGCCCGTGGTATATCTTAAATTGCATGAAAATAATCCATTTATACTTATTCAATGATTAGTGTACAAGATCACTTGATCCAGCAACGAACATAGGTCATTCCACAAATTTAGGGTCCAAAGTGTGACATGTTTCCTGTCCCCCTTACATTGGCACTTTGTTACCATTCAAGTTTCATTAAGAAAGACCGCAGTTGATTGTTTATTGATTAATTGTTGGGTAGGTAGTTTGCTATTCATACTCCCTCTTGCAGGACGACTGCATTAAGGAGTACATCCAGAATTATAAAAATCAAATCATAGACGTCAGAAGTAAGGGTGCAACAAGTAAATAAATTCCTATAGACACAAGTGACAAATCTCCATACTTCGAAATTCTTAAAAGAAATACTCAGAACTCTTATATCACACATGTTCAGGCTGCACAGCAAATTGATGATCAACATGTCTTCTTTCATTTTCCTTTCAATTTTTGGTGGGTTGACCAATGACTTTGAGAGGAATTCTCACCCAAAGAAGATCACCCCTAATATAATATAAAACGAATATGTCCCGACCTGAAAAAAAGGATCCCTCCACAACATGGCTAAATAGCGCCACTTTCCGACCCAACTGCATCCGAAATGCTCAGAATTAGAAGCCCCAAGTCCAGTCCAGAGGCGCATTGCCTTTATGTCGTCAATCCCCCACAGTTCTATGGCTCTCACAATTATCTAATACAGAATAATTTGGATGTACAATGTATAACAGTTATTCATGAGCTCGGCGGACGGATTTTTGCCCTATTTACTTGGTTGCACCTGTAACAGGGACAGGGAAAAAAATGGACCCCAAATTTAAAGAGGACCGACAAATAAACGGAAAAAGTTAACAATCAGAGAAAGAGAAACGACTTCCTACTCGTTAAAGTTGCAATTAATTTTTATTGAAGCAACCACATGGTACAGTCAATATCTGACTGGTTTAAACAGAAAACGACGGTAGACAAAATGGAATTCTAAATATTCAACAATGACAAAACGTCAAGGATTTCTTACACTTATCGCAGAAGCAAAACAACCGCGACAGTAAAATTCAATATAAATGACTGATTTTAGTCCGAGTCGGTTTGGGAAAGTTAGGTTTGAGCCTGAAAAATATGTCTAGTTCGGTGATATTCATACTAAACAACCAAATGTTTTTTTTATTTATAAAATATAAGATAGCAATTGATTTATTCGTCAAAATTTTTCTGCTCGGACAGAAAAATCCTGAGGAAATACCTCGCTAAAATTGCTTACTTTTGCGTGGAAAACACCAGAAATCCCATGAGAAATATTAACAGAACCCTAGATCTTCTAAATCTGGCACAGGGCTTACATGATGAACACACAGAATTTAAACTCTGGGGATTAAATTGCAAAATGAAATTCAGTGTTTTTTCGTATAATTGTGTACTGATTAAGCAGTAAAATGTACACAAACCTTGCCCGTTCCTGTGGACAGAAACACCTAGAGCAAACATCAGGGCCCTGGGTAGGCAAGTTATTTTGCAAACAGAAAGGGGTAATTTTTTTGTGGGCGGGGCAAGAGAAAAGAACTGTTTTTCTATCTCCTGTCTCACTGAATAACTGAAACATAAAAAAACCTTCAACCTCTTTATATCATTAATCATTCGAAAATATTTGTAGAAAAATATTTCCAAATTTCTATAAACCTTGAAAAGAATTTGGAACAATGCATAAACCAGAACAATGTAACTTAGGCCTAAGTGCTTGAATTTTTGTTAGGCCTGTGTGGCGCCCTCAACGGAGAGTGCACATGTTGGATACTTTCAATCTATTAATCAATACAACATATTGGAGGATAGCCAATAAACTTTTAAAATACAAATAGTAAGTCAAAGTCTGTTGACAGACGATGGGTGTTTTTAAGGTGGATCTATTTTAATCAATTTTACATCACAGTAACAATAAAAAAAGCTGCACCAGTATTGAAAAACAAGCAGTAAGTACACGTAAGCATGTACTTGACACTGACATACATTACATATGTATAGAAGTATATTTAAACACTTTCATCTATTAAGAAATGTTAATAGTATACAAAAAGTGGGAGCATGAAGTTGAACACATTGTATGCCTGATGCCAAATTTCAACGCCAAAATGTACAAACAATCTTTACAATGAGACTATTGTCAAACATTATACATTCAAATCCTGATGTCTGTCTATTCTATTACGCTCTGAATGAGTATCTGGTTTAATTCCTTGTGAAATTACATTTGAAAATTCTTTCACCCAAAACAGCCGACAAAAAATATAACGATTCAAAACATCTGTAAGACAATGTTGCCACCTACATGACCGGTCAAAATGCCCCACGTGTTTCCGTGGTGTTTCACAAACACTTATTCGCTTAAAATCATCCTCAACAAAATTCATCCAACTCAAGACAATATTCTCCACACATATCACTGATTTTGTCAAATTTACAGAACTGTACATAATATTCACAGAGTAGACTTAAAGGAAGGTTAGTTTGGTCGATGGTCTTTCTTTTTTTTTTGAGGAAAATACACAATGCTAAGATAATTTAACTCCAGCTGCACTGTATGTGTCCTCCATTCGCTATTATACAACAGAAGATAGATTAACCCGATATGTAATATGACACGTAGGTTTGTCCAAATATTTACAAAAGTAAGCTTCATTTTACATTGAAAACCTGCATCTGAGAAGCCGTGTTACTGGCATGACCTGCTTTCATAACTAAATCAAATCCACAAGTGAGGGAAAAAAACCCATATGCAAACCCATTTAGACGTAGCCATTTTATTTACACCATGATAATGTGGTTGTGCTGGTAAGTAGTTGATGATGAGACTTAGGGTGTTTTTGAAATCTTGGCTTCGTCTGTGAACTGGGCTTCAGGATATTTTAGGCCCCTGATGTAAACAACTCCGGCAACATAATGAGTCTATTTTTCTGTTTCAGGGATAACCTTATATTAGAGGCAGTGGTTTCGGTTTTACTCATTTCATTCTGATATTTAAGGCTGCTTAATAAATCTGAGGGGCCAGAGATGATGCCATATCTCAAAATGAAGCCACAGCTGCAACGTGGCCGGGCTTTCGTTAACCCCCAATATAGCTGTTCCTGTCAAGTTTATGGCTGTAATACTAGCTTCCTGCAATAGGCACCGGACTGTTGCGAAACAGAAATCAAATGAGTGAGCACCTTAAACAAGATATCCATAAATAACGGCGTTATTGCTGCGACAGTAATTGGTTAATGCACCGCTAATGGATGGAAAAGGGAAAAAGCCAACCATCTGAAAATAATGACGATTTGAACTTCCTAACCTAAGTGAATTTGCCTCAAGCGTTTCTTCTGATACATGTAAACGTACCAGTACCTGACAAATTCTAGCTTTTTTCCCCGTATCCTTTTTTTTATGGCTAGCTGATTTTTTTTCTGTCAAATGACTGCCAGACTTGCGAAAGCTCTTTCCTGTTTGCGTCACTTCAACCAAAGTAACAGCGGTACTAAAAAAAATAAAAATTTGAGAGAAACAAAATGAGCACCAAGCTTTTTAACTTGACATTTGAGCACCAATTCTCTCCGTGAAAATCACCGTAACAAATCTACTAAGAGACTTAAGAAAACTCTCCGCTGACTGCCTCTTAAATGTAAAATAACCAGATGAGTGATCACATGCATGTATCGATGTAATAACCAAAGCGCGATGTTTCTTCTTCTTCCTAAACCCGCTGAAATTGGACCTCTTTCCCCTCTTAACTTGTCAAGCATGATACTGCTTATTCATGGGAGAATCATTGGCTTGAACTCAAGGCAGACTTTAAGGACTGTTACCTTGTGATGGAAAATTGATCAGTTAAAAGGTTTGCCTGCACATGAACACTTGGACTGAAATCTCGAATCAAGGCTACAGCCTAAATCATGTCAAGGAAATCGGTGGTCTAGGCTGGTTTTTAAAAAATATTTTTAAGCTCCTTACAAAACAAAGTGCACACATTATTGTAAGTTGAGGGCGTGTTGCAATTTCCGTCATGCCTACAAATAAGTGGTACATTCTTCAGTATATCATGCAGTGTTGGAATTGTGTCCTTTTTCTGAATATTCAGCAATACACATGTGACAGGCTTTTTTGTTTTTTTTGGTACTGCAGATGGCAATTTAGCACGAGATATGCGTGTAAATTGTCCTTGTTTACCTCAAATTACCTGCAAAAGGTGTCGGGATACACTTACATCCAAGGAAGTGATATAATGGAAATCAAGCCCAAGTACCAGGGTTTTGTTGACTGAGTATTTCAAATGGGTATAAAAATGAGTATTTGGATGAACAACTAATACAGGAATACAACAAATGAATATTTTTTTTTTGGCAAATTGACTCAAGGGCTCAATTCCAAATCCGTTAAAGAAAAAGCTAGACATTTTCAGCCTACATTTTTGATCCACAATATCAAGCTCTTCATGCTTTATTCATTTAAGTATATTTGCCAGATGGAAAAAAAAAGGACACATTGAAATTGTTAGGGTTTTATGTATATTCATGAAATCTGGTTGCCCACACTGAGCAAACGCACCATTTGTTTACAGGGCATGACTTTGAAGCATTCGCACACGTTCTCTTGGCTTTAGTGAGTATGCCACACAGACCATTGACAGTTTTAGGCCCACAGGCGATACAGGTGCCCTACCCTGGACTGTATAGCTGAATGTATCCAGGTCTCATAAATCAACTTCAGAGCACTGCCAAGTTGAGTCCTTTCCGCTTGACCCAAGCTCTTTTCTACCTTATCAGCTGCAAGAATTGTGAAAATATCTGGATGGAATTTGCAAAGACACACCACAAGGCAGTGGGTAATCAATCCTGATAACATGCCGTGTCTACGCTTACACGTATTTGTGAAATCACGCAGACTAAGTTGAAGAAATGTCAAAAACAGTGAAAAATCTCTCAAATCAGTTCAGGCCATCAGTCTAACGAATTTCCTGTGTAAAACAAATCAGATTTTGAAAGCCTCTTTGAAAACGAACCAGTAGGCACAAGCAACCAGGATGACACACTGCAGATTTCCATTACATTTTTACAGAGCATTTCTTGCTCAACATTGGAAAAATGCTTTCATGTGTACAATTCAATTTCATTTCAGGTTGGTTACAGCAATGTGTACATACATGTCCATATAATTTCAAAGTCTAAGTTCATATATACATACGCACAGTCATTAAATTTAGTGTCATACGTCCGTAAACTGATCCGGACCATGTTTATTCCCTTTAACTGGTTTCCCGCCCTTGTTGCTCCCACTTCCACCTTTCGCTTGACTGTGGCTGTCCCCCAGCTCTGGTTCCCGTAGCAACATCTGGTTGATGGGTGGGGCTGTTGCTATGGTGAGGTCAGGGCCTGATGGGATAGCAATGTCAGGCATGATCTCACTCAGTATGGGGACCACTTGGGCAGTAGCTGCTACCTGCAAATAGCAAAAAGTGGTATAAAAAACGCAAGTTATTGCACAATTTACTGACAAATGAATCATTACTTAAAGGGGATATCAATGTACAACATTTGCTTTTACTGTAATTTTTAGAAATGGATGAATTTGGGGGGTTAGTATTTTACAGCAATATTATATATTTTATAGCAATACTGACTTGTTCAACGTTTTTGGGTTTGTAGATGCTGGAAAAACCAAGACAAAAAATCATACTTTTGTAGTCTGGTTCCCTGACCCCACTTAAGATGAAAAAGAACAATTTATAGCTTTGGTGAATTGTAAGGTCAGGGAATCAGTCTAGCTGGCTTCTACCTGTTCACAGGTGTGTAATCGACTGCAAAGAAAATGCGGACTAACTAAATATGATAAATTGGGAGCAGTATTTGAAAAAAGCAAGTTTTTCCAATGCTGGTCGGCCGACCAGCATTGGAAATTGATACAAAAACACCACTTTTCTTGGAAATGACAGCACACCAGGTGCCATGATTTCACAGGATGATTTAGACTGTCATTCACTAACAGTCCAGTAAGGTATTTCATGATAATTTGGTTATTTTGTTTTTGATGTTTGCAAATGTTGTATATTCCCTTTTTATGTTTTAGAATGAGTTAATCCATTTGATAAAGTGCCTGTAATGTAAGTGTACTTGACAACTAGAAATTTGGAAGTGATTTTTTGCTGGTTGAACATTTACTGAGAAAACATGTTACGGGACAGTATTTTGAAAATTTTGCTTTTTCTTGAATCACTTTATAAAGCGTGTTGAGAGACGTTTGTGACAATTTAGACACATCTGTACAAGCAAGCTCCTTTAAAATAGAACTAAAATTGTTAATTGAAATTTCCAAAATACACCTAAGGAAGGGTACGTTATTGTGTTTTGTGATGAAAATTTGTCACATATGTCGGTTTGTTATTCTCACTATGACATAAAAAAAAATCCCCCCTCCAATAAAATCACGAGATTACTGGAGAAAATCTATTACCAACAACCATCTAAATTAACCCCCCAATGTGCGTGGGTAGGCTGTCTGAAGCTGCAATGAATGACTGATGAAGTGTAATAACCTACGGTGAATTTTTAATAAAAAAAAGAGAGAAACGTTCGCCTTTCCCGGCATTGAGTACTTGCTGCAATACCCCCAATGAAATGCCAGTGCTTTCTGAAGGCTGCAGGCTCAAAATCTTTCTCTTGTCAATATTCTCTGCTCTAACAAGTGTTAATTATTCAACAGAATTAAGATGATCGGGATATGCTCTGATACAAAAAACAACAATATCCACAACAGGAATCAGAAATCGAACTATAAACATCAAATCTGCAGCTAAGTCTTTCCCTTCGGTATAAAACCTCTGAGATAAATCTAGAGGGCACTTTCGAATTATTTAGCATTCAAATACTCAAAACTTGGATTGATCGAATAACCAAAACACGCTGATCAAACTTTACATGCGCCAGCCTAAGTTACATCGGGGAATTAAATCGGATGCTTATCGGGCTTTGCGTGATGTGCTTGTGCCGGTCGAAAATTGACAATGAGCTTTTGAGCATCAAGTGTACCTACATCACCATATTTTTTCAAGGTAGCTGACCGGTCGATATTTGACAGATTTTAAAGATGCATATATTACAGCTGACATTTCTTGTGGAAGCTATGAAATCCTGCACGTTAAGTGACTGCTGACACAAATCTGGCATTTGACAAACATCTTCTCGAGACCGCTCAAAATTTTTGGAAAAATTTGAATTGGAAAAATGCTACTTGAATATTTGGTGGATGGTGGAATAAACAGATATTTGGTTTACTCAGCACAGCCTTATTTAAACCCTTTCCACATCACTTTGCGACGTTTTCTTGCATTTACAATAATTTCACCAACCCCAAACAGCCCAAATGAGTATACATGTAGTAGGAGTTTGTGCAGCTACATGTAGGGTGTTTTTTTATGAGAGTCACCCATCATTAGGCCCTTAAGGGCCACTCAAGGTGACTGCTACACAAAGAAGGGATAGAAAAGGAAATCTATGGAAAGGAAACAAATACTTCAAGTATAAAGATACATACTCCTTTTACATATTTGAATTTTCTTCAAGACCCATTTTCTTCTTACAAAAGTATGCATGATACATGAACGTCAGTTGTCATTCTGAATCAAATATAAATTCAGTGCATTTGACACAAACAAAGGGTTGTTCTTGTACAACAATTCAAAATATAGTTCAATACAGTGTGCACTGCATTGAAAGATTTTTGAGCTGGTCTCAGAGTGCACAAAATTCTATTCAATAAGCCAGTTTGGTATTCCAACTGCGCATGCACACAATGATATGGGTCACGGGTCATTCGGGATAATCGAACGCGCATCAAAGGCGCATAAACGCGCAGGGAGATGGGTGCACGAAACTTGCGTGTTAATAACGAGCAGAACGGACGTTCGCGTGACATCACATAACTTCACATCAGCGATTTTATCCCAAATGACCTTTGACCTAGACTAATACCAAATTGGCTCATTGACTCAGAATGGTTATTCACTGGAAGTTGTTTCATGCATCTGGTGTACATTATAGGCTTGATTTAATCTGTTGCGGGGTAATCCTAAAGGATAGCACTGCCCGGCTCTCTTCAGCCAACAACCAAGCTAAGACATCACAAATGACATTAAGTCAGTGAGTCAGGTAAAAGAGGACTATGGGCTCCTTGCGTGAACAAGAGAGGGCGCTTCACTACCATTTTCGAGAGCTGGACACATCACATGCGTGTACAACTCATTTCATTCTGCATGTGCAAAAGAGCTATAGCATCTTTGCATGAGCCTCCGGCAACGACAATAATGCGTTTGAATGTCACTCCCAGTGGTCTCCCCCAACTCTCCCTTTCTTACCGTTGAGGGGGTACTTGTGCATGGAGCCCATAGGCTGGCCCCTCTGGGACCAGCAAAGAATGGCAGAGTCTTAACGTATCGTCAGAGTTGACTGCACCTTTCAAGCACTTAAATCACATGTGTGTGTCATGCATTAAAAAATAGCGCGGGCCTGTCAAGTCGGTTTATTTCAAGTCGCGGAAAAGTGGAACATCAGGGATAACAGCATACTTGTGTGGGGATCAACACCATGCGTCAGGCTCATCATGTGATTTCCATAGGGAGATGTGTACAGATGTGTTTGCTTCTACCCATGTACTGTACAGCAAAATTCAATGCAGCATTAAGAGGTACCTAGGGTACTCTAAAGTGCAGATTTATTGAAACTGCATTTGAGGCAAGATTGTGAAGAAGAAGTGAGGGAGGAAGGATCTAGACGTTGGGGGGAGGGGCTTGAACTGGGAAACGACATTTAAAAACTGGCAACCCAAATTTGACATGCAGTCTACATTGTCTTGAAAACAAAAAAAACACCACTTTACCCGAGGGATTACAGCCATGTTCAAAAGTCCAATAATTAAAGTAATTTTTTTCACAGACATCAGAGAACTCATAGAAACTTTCATCTCTCCACAAAAAGAAAAGAAAACTGTTGAACTAACAACAAGTCATGTGGGCAAAATGTAGGATTGCTACATATCCTAATACCAGTACATACACATTACCAAATGAATAATTTACCTAAATTCTACAGATCCTGTATTAGCTACGCGTAATACAAAGTTTACAGGCATTAGGAAGGACAGCGCCAAGTGTACACAAGTTAACAATTGTTGACTTCTGTGATTTTTGACACCCAGGGGCCGGACACTAAAACTGCTCATGAGACTGAGCCGTCAAGGTTCTCAGTCGCGAGGCCAGCAGAGGTAATTCATATGCAATGCAATTTGTCTATTTCTGACACAGAGTATATGAGTTAATTTACATGCAAGGCTGTGTATGTTATTTATATGCAATGCAATGTATATGAAGTAAATGGTTATTTTATAGACTGGATACACGGGCATTACACCAATGATATTACAGACCTTGAAAGACAAGATATATTTGGTCAAAAGTCTCCAGTAAAGACTTAAGATGATAATTGCTCTTCAGAAAGGTGACCCAAGAGCTGAGCTGATGAAAGACCCATACGTGCTTCTTTCATAGAAAGATAATATTACCAGTTCTGTGTAAGAAATGCTTTTGAATATATTGAATTTGCACTACAATACCTGTGTATTACCTGTGTAAAGCCTGTGTGATGTCCTTGGAAACTGCATTAAGTATCAATATGAAGAAAACAAACATTCAGATTTCAGCTGTGTTTTACACAAAGCTTGCAGGCTAACATGTCAGGTTTGGCATCCCACCCAGGCTTAGACGGCTTTGAATAAAAGATTGACTTTCAGTGCGGCGTTCAATAACCCGTTAATAAGATCTCCAATATATGTGATGTAGAAGATGCCAAACAAGTCCATAACGCTACTAAACCCATGATGCTTAAAGGTACTATACAGTGTACAACATTTGCAACCATCAAACCAAACTATAAAACTATTATGAAATACCTTACTTGACTGTAAACCATGTATAAGTGAATAAATAGTATCAAGCATCGTGTGAAATCATAGCACTTAGCGTGTTTTCATTTTTAAGAAAAGTGGAATTTTTGTATCAATTTCCAACGATGGTCAGCTGACCATTGTTGGAAAAAAACCAAACTTTTTCAAAAAACTTCCCCCAATTTACCAAATTAATTAGTCCACATTTTGCTTGCAATCGGTTATACATCCATAATGGGTGCGAGCCAGCTAGTCTGGTTTCCTCCCCGACCTGACAATTCCCTGACGTCTATAAATTGCTTTGTTTGGTCGGAAGTAGGGTCAGGGAACCAGACTACAAGAGCAGCATATATTCCCTTGGTTTTTCCAGCATTTATGAACACAAAACTTAAACAGGTCAGTGTAACAATGTTTGCTATAAAGTATTCACCCCCAAATCCATCAATTTCTTAAAATTACAGCAAAAGCAAATGTTGTATATTACAATGTATATATATAAATTTAAA